GTGTATGCGTATCTATATTGTGTATGGAGCTGAAATGTTGGCTAGTCTGTAGCATCAAGGTCTTGCATTGGGCTGTCAGAACAGCAGCCACCACTACAGTATTGCACTACGCTGTCTGAGGGGCTCTGATTGCTGCATTTGACTCTGGGAATACTGCCATTGCTGTCATCATAGAATCACAGAATCATAGAATGCTTTGGGTTGGAAGGGACCCCTAGAGGTCATCTAGCCCAACCCCCCTGCAGTGAGCAGGGACATCTTTAACCAGATCAGGTTGCTCTCAGCCCCGTCCAACCTGGCCTGGAATGTTTCCAGGGATGGAGCCTCCACCACCTCTCTGGGCAACCTGTTCCAGTGTTTCACCACCCTCATTGTAAAGAATTTCTTCCTTAGATCCAGTCTAAACCTTCCCTGTTTTAGTTTAAAACCATTACCCCTTGTCCTGTCACAGCTGGCCCTACTAAAAAGATTGTCCCCATCTTTCCTATAGGCCCCCTTTAGGTACTGAAAGGCCGCAATCAGCTCTGCCCGCAGCCTTCTCTTCTCCAGGCTGAACAACCCCAACTCTCTCATCCTGTCCTCACAAGAGAGGTGCTCCAGCCCTCGGATCATCGCCTTTATTGATAGAATATGACTATGATCAGCATGACTGAATCAGCCCTTAGAGAAAATATTAAAATGAATATGTTATACTGGCTGGCCTGGAGGGCATGAAGTACATTTTCTGGAAGTTAACAACCTGAGTGACATTCTGAACACTACTGGATATTTCTTTCTATTCAGAGAGTTCCCTTTTACCTCCTTGCCCATGCCCTGGACTGATGGTTAAGCAGAAGCAATCAAGTGCCACAAATGTTGCTTATAATCTACAGAAAAGGGAAATCAACGTTTCCAAAGTCAAAGAAGAGGCCATAGACTGAAGCATAGAAATGAATATTGGATGACGTGTCAAAAGCTATGTGTTTGATGGCTGTGTTGCCTGTGTCATCATGAGTCATCTACCGCTTATTATTTGTTTGCATGAAGATTAAATCTGCTTGTCCAGTTGTATTATATGGGTGCAAGTGCACACAGAGCACGAATAACCACAAGTTATAACCACCAAAAAAAATCTCTTTATTTTGTGTATCAGTTGTTTAGAATGAAGTCAGGAAGGAAGGAGGAATAATAAGAAGAGGATTTATACTGAGTTCTTCAGTATGCCATTTGTCTAAGGAAATGAAAATTGACACTTCTTTTTTTTTTTTTTTTAACTAGGAAAAAAAGAAATAGTTCTAATAGCTCTCATTAGCTGTTGTTGCCCTAGAAAGATCATGTAATTGTTCTTTTCTGCCTGGGTGTTCATTGTTTGTTTCTACAATGGAGTTCTCCATCATGACTCTTCCATTTTCCCATTATTCTTCATGACAATAGTTAAGAAAAACTGAACTTAATCCAATCTCTTTCTGTACACAGTGCTTTAAAGCAAAGGGCAAGAATGCTTCTAGCACAAAGCACATTAATCCCAGTTCTCATTGGAAAACCAGGTGAGAAGGAATATTCCTCAGCATGTTCAATCACCAAAGAGATTATAGAAGTCTCTTGGTAAGATCACTGATTGTTGGTTTCCCTCTTCTCTTCCTTTACATACTCTGAAGCCAGGGGACATGTTATCTTCCATTGCTGTCTTTCGTAGAACCAATGTGTCTGTCATCTTTTTGGCATCTCTTTGCTGCTTTGATCACTGCTACAACTCTGCCTGTCCCAGTGACTCAGCCTGTCACCAAGTCCAGTGTCTGTTATTTTTTCATCTTCTCTGTGCTGCTTTTGACGGTAAGCAGGGATGCTATGAAGCAGCTGGTTGCTGCTATGAAAAATACTAAGACGATTGTTTGAAGTCGCCATAATTTTATCCAGGGTCTTTTGTGCAGAGATACACAAGCACACACAGGAAGCTCAGCACATGCCAGATGTGGCTGACTGCCTGTGAAGGCAGTGAACCTCTGTCCAGTGCATATGCGATTGGTCCAATGTCTCCAAGAAATGCTAGGCTCACTATGTAGAGTCCATGGGTTTCACCTGTGCATAAACAAGAGTTGCCTCTTCCAGAAGCCTGCAGTGAGGCCCTTACTCTCTAATATTACCTCACTCACTAATCAGGTATTTCTCCTTTAAAGCAGTGGGTAAAAGAGCTGTATAATGTTATTGAAATAGATATATTAAAATATATTCACTATGCTTAGAAACTTGTTTCCACCTGGCTATTAGAACTAATGCTGTAAGGCATTTGGAATAAAGAAAGAAGACCTTTGCTTTGAAGTATAAATTACTTACAATTACTGGAGTTTGGAATGAGAGATTCCCAGAAGTCAGATCTATCTGCTGCTTTTGTTTCTGAGAAGTGGCTGATACTGGAGGAGATTCTGGACTAGAGAAATTCAAGAGTTTGATTTTTTCCTTCCCTTGTTCAGATACTCACCATGTAAGAGTCTGGTGTGACAGCTCATAAACCCAGATCACTGTTTCTCAAAGAATTGTTTTGATGTGGATGTTGTACAGGATTCCTGCATTTGCACTGAAAGAGAGCTCAGGGGCACATTTTATGGCTCCTAATATTCTAAGCGGAGGAGTTGCATATCAAAACAGAGCTGGAAATGGATGACATTCATTACACTCAATCTTGCTTTGCTGATGGTGATCTGTGCTCTAATAATTCTTTTGGACAAAAAACATGAGACACACAGTTATCCTTCTGAAAACAAGGTTTTAATGAGCAGGGAAGATGTAGTGCAGGAGACAGAGGCATCATGGCCTGATAAGGTAGAATACATGGTTTGTCTCCTTTCCCTAGTTTTGACAGTCCCCTTCTCTTTCACCCAGCTTCAAGCTATTTTCATTTTCTATTGATTTCTCATGTAGAGGGAAGTCAGAAAAAGAAGAGTGGTTTTCCTTTTGCGTGGATAAATAACTCCTTGATTCAAATATGCCTTTTCCTCCCAGGTACTTATGTAGACCCAGTTGGATGTTCTAAGCATCTCAGTGTTGATTGTGTTTGTGGTCTCCACACCCAAGCTGGAAAGATATGGTGAGGGAAAGGGAGAGTCAGGATGAATAAAACAAGGATTTCTTATGAGCACTATCCTGGAAGAGGGATTCAATATCCAACTAGGCACCAAAGCTTCCCACGTGTTGTCTGGAGAGTCAGATGTTTGCTACCATCAGCAACCATTCTGCACAGAGAGCTTCAGCACTGGCCAGAAGGAGGGGCCAAATACAAGGGCTTTCAGGGATGTAACTCGGATCCGACCACCTGAAACCTACTCAAACCTGGTCTCAGAGAAAGGGGGTAAAAGATGCACCGAGACATATTTAGCTTAGGATGTCGAATAATAATAAACAGAGCAGTGAGAAAAGAAGTCTAATCACCTGTTTAGCCTTCAGGGGAAAATGGCACCAAAAAAATGCACAGAAAATGGCAGTCTATACCAGATTCTCCAGTAAGAAAGAGAGGGAAGTATGTGAATTGTCTGTGAACTAGTGACAGAAATGGAAACTGAGGTCCTTAACCTTTAGCACATGTTTCTGTAGTTGACCCAAATGTTACTAGTTTGTTTTTTTTTTTAATTTGGACTTGTCACTCCGAGAAAAATCAGTGAAAAAATACAAATAGACAATAGCAGTATGAAATTCAGTGATCTGTATGGATACGGGGTAATCTGGAACATCTGGGTGAACCGTTCCTTGCTGTTTTCCATGTGGACTTTCTTTCGCTGTAGGAAAAAGCACCTTTTCAAAAGTCTTGCTACCTTTTTCAATGGCTGTTCTCAACAGCACTTTTAGAAATGTTCAGTCTGATGCTTGTATTTGACATCTTATTTTCCTGATGGCTGGGTGCTGAACTGTCACTGAATGATCATGGAAAAGGCCCAAGAAGAAACTGGGTAAAGGGCAACAAGAACATCATGAAGAGTTCTTTAGGAAGTTGTTTTTATGTGTCCTTCGGGGATCTTTCTGAATTTCCTGTTTTATTTTAATTTTCTTGTTTCTAAGACACAGTTCAAAATAAGCATGGAAAAAACCTATTGCTTGAGCTTGGATGTGCTTTTGATGGGTGGAGGAAGGTAGTTTGTACAGCAAAACTGCATAGTTTTTCTCTCTGAGTTCCTTGTGATGAAGAGGAGTGCTTGCCAGACATTGAACGCCCCTCCTCGCCCCCAGTATCACTATACGCAGTTTCCAGAGCTCCTTGGGGTAATGTTGCAATCAGACATGAAATCTCTCTGCTTCAGTGAAGTAATTAGTGATTTTCACTCACATTCTGGGAGAACTGGCACCTTGGGAAAAGATCAGAAGTGGCTTCATTCTCACAGAGGATGGGTGAACACATCTACCCTAGGTGTAGGCACTTCTGAAACCTGTTCAGAGACATTCTTGCATGGCCTCCCCAGCCCACCTGCCCCAGGGTTGGGAGATGTGGTTATCTTGATCCTTCTTCAGGTTCTTTGCAGAAGTACTACCAATAATGTTGTTGCATCAGAAGAGTCTAGAAAATCAGAATCTCCAGGAATGTTGCTTCTAGTTTACAGTGCGATAAATGGGAGGGGAGTAGAGCAATAAGTTTACCGTACACGTATCCTTCTCCTAGATGGAGCACTGAAGACCTAAACTTTCCTGCCCATTTCTGAATACATCATTTAACTGCTTTTTTAAGACTATACTAACATTAATCTTTCTCTTGCAATGCTCTTGTCATGCCTTTTCTGTCTTCTGAACCCATATGCTGTAAGAAAACATTATCAGTAATTATCTTTAAATACGTGTTTAAATACTTGATGTGTTTATGTCCTTTATTTCTCCTCTTCCCTCCTCAGCAGGCTGTTCTAGTCATCACAGAGGTGGGATAAGTTGACTTACCTTGTGAATAATCTGTTCTACAACCTTTTCTTAAATCTGTGAAGTTGCTAGGCTGTTTAAAGTCCAGCACAGAGTGTTCATCTCTCTTTTATTTTGGTCTGTACCAGGAAATGCCTACAGAGAATGCCTGGGCAATGGGACATGGGCTTCCAAGATAAACTACTCTCAGTGCGAGCCTATTCTGGATGACAAGGTCTGTATTTTTCCCTTCATTCTTCTCAATGACATTTCTCAGCATACATGAATGCAAAGCTAAGCTTAAGGTTAACATACTAATTTGGGACTTCTGAGACAGATTCCATTTCTGTCTCTGCAACAAATCCTCACTGTGAATTCAGGCAAATCACTTATCGTCTCCCCATATCCCCTACTCAGATGGTTTTTAAAAAAAGGATGCTTTATTATACTCTGTCCCTGATGATGTATGTTTATGCAGATCCTTCCTAGCTTTGTTCGGAGCCTACGGCTGCTACAGTAAATGTTAGTAATAATAACAATAAGACCAAAAGCTTCTTTGGCACTGAAAAATAAACTTTCACCAGCTGATTCCACACTGCACCTACCATTTCTGAGGTCTCATCAACAACTGGCCTTTCTGGAACTCAATGTCATTTTTCCTTCAGCTAATATGTACAGGGGCAGCAGCAGGAAAATACATAAAAAGCAGACTCGTGTCCCAGCTGTCTTTAAAATATTGAGCCAGTCTTGCGTTATACAGGAGTTTACAGAATGAAATTAGCATATAGGTTTAAGCTCCTTCAGAAAGGCTGCAAGCAATTATGCAAAGTCCTTTTCTTGTCAAATGTCTCAGCTTTTCTTGGAGGCATCATAGACATTCATCCTCACACAGTTTAAGCCTTCAAGCCTTTGATGCCATGTTCTCTTTCTCTTCCTCCTGTTTTGAGTGCTATGGTAGGACACAAGCACACATTGGCTTTGTGCTGTCTCTCTGCCAGAGGTGCCTTTCCCCTCTAAGAACGAGGGTGGAGCCCAGCAGCTCAGGCCTGTTTATGTTTTGGGGTTCAGTCCACTCATTCCGTCATTGGAATGGTGCCATGCCAGTTGCAAACAGAGAGGAGGAAGACAAGGTCTCACCTGCTGAGGGCTGCTTGCAGAACTAATCCAGATTTAGTACTCGGGAACTATCTGGACTACTGCTGTGCCCAAAACAGTCATGATGTGCTTTGGCTGTGGCCCAGCATCCATCCTGTAAGATCCATGTTGTTGCTGAATGTGGGCTTTGATGAGTGAATCAGAAAACAGATAACTACACACCAGCTGCTGAGGAAGGCCTACTCTTACCCACTGGCTAGGTAATTTGGTGGTAGCCCACCCACCCCCCACCTCCATTTGCTAGAGGCTTCTAGAAAGTAAGAAAAAATGTGCCAGTGCATGACTGCCATCCAGAGGGACTGATAGACGTTCAAGGTGGTCTAGCATAGAGGAGAGGCTCCCATGGCAATTTAAGCTGATGTAAGCTGGGACCACCCCAGTGCAGCCCCTCCTTACATTTTTTTCCCACTTAAAATGAAAAACTAACTTTTTCTGGGTCATTTTTTGGATTAGTCAGTTCCCTAAACCATCTTACTGCATTACTGCAGGAGTGCTGGGGCCAGCACAAGCAGAGAGATTGCAAGCATGGGGTTGAGGGGGACAGCAGACCATGGTAGCAGACCATCTCTGACCGAAACGGATTTGCACTTCTGTGAAACCACCCGCTTAAAAATAAGCAAGCTGGGGGGGCATGGTGTAGCAGCCAGTGCTGATTTAGAGAATGGGGTACAGAGCTGGGTAAAGACTCAAAGTCTTTGATGTGGTTTAGCTGGTATGGGAAACCTGATCTGATACTAGCAGTCTGCTGTACCAGCTCAGGAAAGTGCTGCTGTATTTTAATGTCACTCGTTATGTGTTTGTCTGCACGACTTGAACAGTTGCTATCTCTGCGCAAGCAAATACAGAGAAGTTTTATTTGAAGAGGCTGGAGAAGTGTTGTTACTAGAGGACAGGATTATTTCCTTTACTCTGTTTTTGCTTCTAAAAACTTTGCAGCTATGGTGATAGCTTAAAACCTCCTAAATAGCATGTTTCTTAAACAGTTGAAAGCGCAGATGTTCTCCCACCCTTGTTTGCAAAAGCTTAAAAACTCATTTATTAGATCTTTAAAGATTTGCGACAAGCTTTGCAAATATTAATATTTGTGAATATTTTTGAAATCTCCACATAATGCTCAGTGCTACAGACAAATACTTGGGTTGCTTTGTGATCTCAAAAAAAAAAAAAAAAAATCCCCACAGATTTCCGTAATCCTCCATTTTGATTGAAGGTGAGATGCAAGCACACATGTGGGTCTACTGTTACTTATTGACTGATCCTAGCAGATGTTAAGCATCAGCCAGGAGGTACACCCTGTGTTTCATGTTTATTTTTAATACAGAACACATCACTACTTTCAAGCTTGGCCACTCGCAGCCAGAGTGCTAAAAAATTACATGGTTTGACTTCGAATGCAGTGACTGGGACAGGAACAGGACTTTTCAAGATCAACCCCATGTCCAGTGCTACATGCTTTATGGCGGAGCGTTGGTGATGTAACAAGGAAAATTTAGGGGGGTTTTCAGCTGTGGATCGGTCTTAGGGGACATAAACTCCTGTAACACACATTCATTGGATTACTTTAATACATCATTGCTTTACCTGTGGTCCAGACCTGTGGCAGTAGCTGATAAAAACTCTGCTCTGGGACTTTTTTGCCTCTAGGTTCCCACTTTGGCTGGGATCTAGTTGCTTGCATGTAGTTACGCGGTGCAGTTTAAAATGCCCCAGTGTGTCTCCATGCATCTGGCCGGTGTGACACAGACCTTCTAGACATTAGGAAAAAATTTCTTCACCCAAAGGGTTGTCAGGCTCTGGAATGGGCTGCCCAGGGAGGTGGTCAAGTCCTCATCCCTGTAGGTATTTAAAAGAAGGATAGATGAGGTGCTTAGGGACATGGTTTAGTGGTGGGATGGCAGGGTTAGGTTAACAGTTAGAGTTGATGATCTTAAAGGTCTTTTCCAACCAAAGTGATTCTATGAATACCTGTGTCCTTTAGCAGCAGCAAGTGGAGCTCAGTCACTAGGACCAGCTAGGAAGCACAGAGTCTCCTGAGTGCACCTCAGGGACCACTGGGTGCTTCTGTGTGTGTAACTGTTTCTAGCCCTTGCTTCAGATATTGGTTCAGATGTTGGGTGGATACCCAAACGTAGGTGTCCTAACATCAGACTGAATCCCATCCCCTGAGCAATTAGTTAGCTCCTTCTCCAGGCACAGGAATCGGTACAGAAATCATTTTGATCCAACTGGCTGTTTGATGGCATAACGTGTGACAAATGGAAAGCTTCTACTCAGCCTACATGCTCCTGTGTCAAAGGATCCTTTGCTGCATCTGGCTCAAACCTGTGCTCTTGTTAGAAGATAAATGAGAGTCTCAGGCAGCAAAAAATACATCTTAGGCTCCAAGAAGAGCTATAAACTAGGAACTTTGGTCTTGTCTATGTGGTCTATGGTATCTGGATATGAATTTGGTTCTGGTAATGTTTTGAGGTGGCTTCAAGCTGTGTAGCTGAGTTAGCACCATGCTGGGCTTAAGTTAATGTATCCTGCACAGTCACATTAGCCACAGCTACCCAGCTTCCAGCTGGCTCAGAACAGGAAAGCAGGAAAGTGAACTCAGAGGCATCTTGGATGACAAAGATGCTTCCAAGTTGCTTCTGAAAGCCTTTAGAGAAGAGATATGGTGTCTTTAAACTGTGCTGGTGATGAGATCATCCTGGCAACAGGAAGAAGTCTAAAGTGACTGAACTGGGAATGGATCGCAGGGCCTTGCAGGAAGACATGTGCTGTAAACACTGGGAGGGCCTGTCAGGAAGTTCTGTTAGAGGGATTGACGTCCTTGTCACCTGGAGAGCTAAGAGTGCTGTCATTAGGTGGTTATTGGTTCAAATCATTAGCTGATTTGGTTTGGACAGTTTAGCAGTCACGTCTGAGCTAAAGCAAAGTAAAAAGTCCTCTAGACAGAATGACTCCATCATTAGCCTGAAATCTGGCTGCAGGGAGCCCAGTGTAGCATGGTTGTTTGTGCATAAGGTACAGCATGGAAGACAACTCCAGTGGCGTGACCTGCCATGGTCCAGAGAGCAAGGCTAAAAGAGTGTCCACACCATCTCCTGTTCTATCTCCTTCCTAATGAAATGACCCTCCTCCTAAGCCTGAATAGGATTTAAATCTGTGGATTGAAATATCTTCTTGGAAGCAGAGGAATATTGGGTAACAGTAGAAGGTTGTTACCATTTTAATGGATCAGTCTTCAAGAGGGTGAGACAGAAGAGAGTTATGCAAGTATTTTACATGAACTGAGCTTTGGCCAACACATGACTGATTCTGGGCACGTGTTTTTCAGCCCTGAAGGTGTTGTCTCCAATTCTACCAGAGTTACAGATTGCATGTAGGCTGGTGGAAAGTGATCTTGCCACCCTGTCAGCTTAGTTTTTCATAGGCACTGAGGCAGTTCTTGTCTACGATATTTGAATTTGCCTTCAGGAAACCTTGTTAGTGTCAGCAAGAGAAGAAATAAAAGTCATGCCTGTTTTTCCTTCAGCATCAATGCATCAAAGAGGAGCTTAATTACATTTTTTTCCAATTAATTTTCACACATTTTGAACCATACCTGGTTAGGAGTTAGGAACCAAAGGAGGGAGCTGAAGGGTCAGATTCAAAGAGCGGGATCCTTGGCCTGGGAGAAACATTGTCATCTTCTAGAAGATTTCTAGCATTACATGAGCAATTCTGGGTGACACTCTTAGTCATATGGTTGAGTTTTCAGTAGCCCTGCAAGAAGCAGGGAGTGGCGCTTGATGATGCTTATGGTTCTCTTCCAACTTGAGATATTCTATGAATCAATGATTCTATGAATTAAGTGGGAAAGTAAATAAGCAAGGCAGTTTACCAGGGCACTATCTGAACATTGCATTTCAGGTAGGCACATCAGTTCAAGTGTGTTTTCCTCCCCTTTAGGTGTCCCTGTGACTTAAGGATAAATAAAACTCAGTGTGCAATTCAGATCTTATGGGGTTTTGGTTTTGGTTTTGTTTTTTTTTTCTCCTCAAGGCTATTGAGAAAATGGGCCTGTCCATGGGGCAGTTTATTTTAGGGGATTTTATAATAGACTTAAAAATACCTTACATGGTTGAGTTCTGTCCAGAAACAGCACATTACTCCATGTGCTGAAGATATAGTTAGATTTCATCATGAAAATGACTCCAAGAGGGCATGCTCTCTCTCTGGCAAAGTTCTGGTAGATGCTATCTTCACAGAACAATGGAACAAATTAACTACAGCTGCTGGTTGTACTTTCATCCAAACATTCATTCACTGACAAATTCCTTTGACTGGAATAAAACGTTAAGGGAACTTAATAGAAAAAAAATGAAACAAAGGAAGTTCAACCAAAATTAGAAAACTACTGTCATTTGTAGGATATTACTTCTATATTTTTATCACAAAGGAGGAAATTTAGGTGGTTATTTTTCAAAGGTCTCATTCTTCTGAAGGAGGACAACATCCCAAAGTGGGAAAAGATCTGCTTATCGTGAAAAGAAACAAATGCCAAACCTAACAAATAAATAAATATCTGTTTTTCAGGGCAGTTTATTCTTTAAGTAGCAAACCTCCATCAATTTTTTACCAGCTTCAGTATTTACCTGAATAGTGTTTTTCTACTTCTTCCTGTGCATCAGGCAAAGAGAGGAGAGTCTTCTCTTTTCTCTGAAACCAGCAGCAGACCACCAAGAAACAATGTTCCAGTTAGTCCACAGTCAAATTTTGGTCACATCTCTAAATTCACTGATGTACATGGTGCACTTTTGTACTTATTGTTTTGCTAACAGGATCAAGAACCTGCCAATAATCTCCTCAGCATCCTAGGAAATACACACTAATACATTAAGCTTCACCACATACCTGGGTTGCTGCTAAAACCAACAGGATCTCTAGTTCATCAGGCTCTCTCAAAACTGAAAGGACACCAGCAGATTCCCTAAGCAGATTTGCTTAGGGCCAGGGTTTAGTGGTGGGATGGCAGGGTTAGGTTAACGGATGGACTTGATGATCTTAAAGGTCTTTTCCAACCTAACTGATTCTATCATTCTATGATTCCAGCTCTTTCAGTCTGCATTTGTTCTGCCCTCAGTTTGAAAGATAATGATTGTGGCTTGCAAGGAACGTACCTCCAGAGAAAAATCTGCCTGTATGGAAAGGTCTTATTATTTATTCTTACTGACAACTGATTCATTTTTGTATGAAAACCAAACCATTTGAGTATGAAAAGTAGCATAACCTGGCTCATTAAGACCATGCAGTTTCCTAACAAAATATTGTTTTATAACTTTTGGAACTGTGAGATGTGTCTTTGGTAGCTTTGTCACCCTAAAATGACAAAGTTTTAAAATAGCATAATAATGAAAATAAGAAATCATAGAATCATAGAATCATAGAATGGTTTGGGTTAGAAGAAACGTTAAAGATCACCTAGTTCCAACCCCCCGGCCAAGGTCAGGGACCCCTTCCACTAGACCAGGTTGCTCAAAGCCCCATCCAACCTGGCCTTGAACACTTCCAGGGATGGGGCATCCACAGCTTCTCTGGGCAACCTGGTCCAGTGCCTCACCACCCTCAGACTGAAAAATTTCTTCCCTATATCTATATCCCTATATCTATAATCTACCCTGTTTAAAGCCATTGCCCCTTGTTCTATAACTACATGCCCTAGTAAAAAGTCCCTCTCCAGCTTCTTTGTAGGCCCCCTTCAGGTACCGGAAGGCTGTGATAAGGTCTCCCTGGTGCCTTCTCCAGGCTGAACAAGCCCAACTCCTTCAGCCTGTCTTCATAGGATAGGGGTTCCATCCCTCTGATCATCTTTGTGGCCCTCCTCTGGACTCGCTCCAACAGGTCCATGTCCTTCTTATGTTGGTGGCCCCAGAGCTGGACACAGTACTCCAGGTGGGATCTCACAAGAGCAGAGTAGAGGGGCAGAATCACCTCCCTCAACCTCCTGGTCACGCTTCTTTTGATTCAGCCCAGGATATGGGTCAGGTCATATTGAGCTTCTCATCAACCAACTCCCCCAGATCCTTCTCTTCAGAGCTGCTCTCAATCCGTTCTCTACCCAGCCTGTATTTGTGTTTTGAATTGCCCTGATCCACATGCAGGACCTTGCACTTGGCCTTGTTGAACTTCATGAGGTTCACACGGACCCACATCTCAAACATGTCAATGTCCCTCTGGATGGCATCCTGAAGAAATTACAGAAAAAAAGGGGTGAAAAAATAACTTTTTTGATTATATTTTTAAGAAAATGTGGACAAATCCAAAACGGAAATGAAACCAAGCCTGTACTTCTGTGCCTGGGCAGCATGTTTGCCTTATACATAGGCATCAGCCCTGGGGCTATAATATCATTTTAAGGTCAAGAAAAGTAATTACTGTTTCCTAAACTGATTAACTGTTCCTTAATGTCAGTGCTTAGAGACTCATGCTGATTTAATCATGTTATCTCTTTACCTCCAGAGGAAGTATGCGCTCCATTACAAGATTGCTCTCATCATAAACTACCTGGGGCACTGTATATCAGTAGGGGCCCTTATAGTTGCCTTTATGCTTTTCTTGTGCTTGAGGTGAGTAATCTGTTTGCATGCTTCTAACTTGGTTGGGTGTGTGACACTTACCGGGTTACTCAAGCGCTCTGATAACACTGTCCTGGTCATGTATGGTCTTGAAAAATGGTCATGGCTTTTACACTCCCAAGCATATACATGGTTTCATTCACTGATGCATTGGATGAGCTGTAACGATGGCTTCCGTGCATGGGACCTAAAGCCTATTTGTATTCAGGAAGAGAACTGTACATGATTTATTGATGCAGCAAAAAATTCAGTGAGCACAGAGTGCTTCATTAAGGGAAGCTGGGATTTGAGTGTGTCGAGTTGCAGGGTTTGCGGGCAGGTTTTCTTTTATATAAGGCACTGCATGATAACAAAAGGAATTTTGCATTCTCTGACAGATAATGCTCAGATCTAGACCAAAGGAGATAGAATGATTTTTTTTTTTTCATTTTGCTTTCGGTTACTTTCAATTTTTCTTCCATTAAAGAACTTAGGAGTTTTCTTAAATAACAAGAGAAACATCATTAGAGGAGCTTTATGCCCACCAGTGCTCATGAAATGATGAATGCAAATCAATGAAACAGCATAGAAACACTTCCCTCCCCTGGTTCCGTGGTACATTGTCAGGTCAAATGGATAGGTCAGTGAAAGAAAGTCTGTGAAGAAGAGTTGGGTCTACAGGGAGAAGAGAAAGGGCAGGAGGGAAGGAAACTTTGTGGAAAGTAATAAGTAGAGCTGTATCAGTCATCATATGTATTGTACATACACAGCCTGAATCACAGGAATATATTTTAACAGGAGTGGCCTGGTTGGATTTTTCTGTATTATTTCTTAGATTACCTGGCTGGTATTTCAGTACTACTTGTGCTGTCTTGTCTAGGAGCGTTCAACCTGAACTTAGAATCAACTGCACTGAGTGCTATGCAATGATAATCCTTGAAAAAAATCTTTACTAATAGCAGAGGAGAAACAAGTGGAGGTCTCCCCCCTCACAGGATTACAACACGATGATTGACAGTGACCTAAGTGAAAGAATTACTGCTTTCCTGGAGTGGAGCATCCTTACAAAGTCTTCCTCTTGAGCATTCCTAACAAGAGGGTCTTTCTTATTAGCAACAGGAATCTTTTTCCACCTCAGCGTCTATAAACAGAATAATCTATGCTAATAGGAAGAAAAAAAAATAAGCTTAAAACATTCAGTGGGAACATTTATGGTGCATCAGTTTAAACTTTCATTTCAACCTTTTTGCTGTGCATATAATGCTAATTCCCATAGAGCTTCGAGACCTGAATTAATTTACACTGAATAAAGAATGCAAATTATTCATTGTAACTATATTATCTGCTTCGATGCTGAATCTTTTATAAATGCTTGAGTAAATAATGAAAAAATAATTATATAATATGATATAAATGTATCCAGCTTCTAACACAGAAGTGGTCTGCCTTGTTGGTTTTAAATTGTTCTCCTGGCATTTAAACTTTGACTTTAAGATTCAGATTTAGTAGTCAGCTTCAGCATTAAAAATGACTGCAGTAATTAAGTACTTCCCTGTACATGCTGTGGATTAAGATAGTCCATCTTTTCAAATTCCCACTTTATGATGAAAAAAAAAAAAAATCTCATGTCCAGCCAGCATTAACCAGCATGAGCTACCTCAGTGTCTGTAGAGTTACACATGTATTCAGAAGTTCTAAAGATGCTCCAATAAAGGCAGTCCAGATTCATGTTACATTACAGATTTCTCCTACACAAATTCTAGGTTATGCACATATTCATCACACTTACCTCTTCAAAGTGTCCCAAGGGCAAATCAGTTTTGGTGACTGAGTCCCATTATTTGGGGCTTTTTCCCTATTTTAGTTTGGATGAAAGAAGGCATCTACTAACTGGGTGCAATTTAGATAATTCCTGGCTAAAAAAGCAATAGAAGACCCTGAAGTCTAGATCTGATAGTCCCACATCTTGACCCAAAGTAGAAATATATCAGTTCCTTATTCCTCCCCCACTCCGCCCATCTACCTCACTTCATGAGTATGTGCTGACAGAGAAGTTAGAGGAGACCTCCAGGAAGGCTCAAGTTCTACAATTGCTCCATATTTTCATGCTTCTCACCTATCACCAGCTTGATTTCCCTTTGCTCTGTCAGTGCAGATGGAGTCCCAAGGGCAGTCCTGTCTGAATGAAGGGACTGGAGCACACTGCTGTATTGGAACATAGCTGCTAGGAAGGCTGAGGGTTCTCCCACAGGTTAAATTTGTGGTTGGCATAGCAAAGAGTATTGCTTTGATGAACAACTAGTGAGATGGATGTCCTGCTTTTGGAGATGAGCTTCACTGTTAATGTTGCTGCCTCAGCCCAGGTAGCTGCTGTGTTGATGGGAAGCTTAGTCCTCAGTTATACTGAAGTTGGAAGGGGAAAGAACTGGATCTAGTCACTGTTCTTCCAAATCTATCCTATGTCATCTTGTCCCCAGTTCATGTCTTCCTCAGTTCCTGATGCAAACCTCTGTCCTCCATTCACAACCCACCCTCCACGCCAGTAGAAACATTCTACTGCCCTAAACTCTAAGGAACCGTACTCCAAAAGATATTTTGAGGAACAGAAAGCTCAGGTGTAGCAGCAAGTAATGAAATCATCTGCCATCTGTGTTTGTGTTGCCAGGAGACCCCAACACAACTCCCTTTTACTGCGAAGACCTATTCAGCCTTGTTTTCTCCAGTTCTGTCAGATATGAACCAATCCTTCCTTCTTGGCTGTGCAATGAAAAATAAGCCAGTGAACACTTCATTTAGCACCTAAATAATAAAAAATGAAGCCCAGCTTATGGAAGAGGACTTGATTTTTGTTGGCATATTGACTGAATGGCAATGAGTCATTGAGATAGCTCCTAAAGATCTAAGTCAAGGATGGTTCCTCAAGGTCTAATGTAGATGGTCTTAAAACTGTAAGAGCCATTCTGTCTTTACAATACAAAACAAAACAAGCACACAAACAAAAAGAAATAAGCTGAGAAGGAAAAATTAAGAATTTGTGCATAAACAGAACGTGCTCTAGAGTTGCATTGATCTCCAGGGCAGGGTCTGGAGGGATTTGCTAAGGGCACTTCACAGGGCATTGTTAAATGCATCTGCACTGCTGTGGATCCCATAGTCTGTGTGTTCTCATTAGCACTAAAGGTTTGATCCATTCCTCATGTGCACACAGGCAGCTCCTGCTGACATGGTTCTCATTGTCCCACATAATCCCATTCTCACATTAGTAAAGCAGGAATTTTCCATAGGAGGAACCCTGCTATCAGTAATATCTATCAAGCTGAAGGGAAAAAAAAAAAAAAAAAGTATTAAATCACTTCTTTTGTTCTTTTGAATCATATTTCATATTTTTCCTTTACTGTTGCTGATAATGCAGAAACCCCAATTGCTTTGTCCTGGCTTTTTCTTTGTTAGTGTGCTGTTATACCAGCCTCTGAGGTGGAATAAGAGTCCTTTGTAGAACTCCTGACTTGTTATTAAACACTGTCCTGGCCATGGCCAGCAGTGACCTGACTGGATTCAATCAGAAGATGATTTATTTATGCAGAAGAAGAAGTAACAGGAAGACAGGTATTTGTCCTGGGAAATATCTAAGTCCCTGCTGAGTTTTGAATCCAATAAAGAAGGATGGTGCTGAAAGGAAGATAGGCTGAAGATTAAAAATGATACGTCCTTCTGCACAGGATGCTGGATAAAGGCGGCTCTGAAAAAAACAAACCCACAAACATTGGCATAACATCTTTTGTCGCTAGTATGGTGGTAACAAAAGCACATTGAGGTTTCAAGGGAACCTTTGCTTTCTTGTTGCCCCTAAATTTGCCTTTTTATATTTCCTCTTTAAAATATCTGATTTTTTTTTCATAGGCCTGAGTCAGTGTCTCCTTTCTTTCTCGTGATTGTAGCCAGATTTCCTAAAACTCACATATTTTTTTCTCCCAAGAGAGTGAAACTTTTTTTTCATGAAATAGTCACTTTTTTTTCTTCCCCCCTCCACAATCATCTCCCATCTTTTAAGAGAGGAAGGTCTACTTTCCTTTATCCTCCCCTGTTCCAAACTCCTTTGAACTGCCTCTTGATCTTCATCCTGGAGTGCACTTGGTGAGACTGCTGCTGCAGGCCTCTGTTAGTAAGAATGGAAGAGTTTTATTAAATGACCTTTAGAAACCTGTCAGAAGACATGTAGAGCATCCATACAGCGTAGGTTTCATAGAGCAAAGTGATCTGACACCTATGAGAGTCTAGATACTGAGGATAGATCAAGCAGGTAGGTGACCTGCACAATTAGTACTGGTTTGCACTTAGAAGTCATGCGGAATCTGATGTGATTAGAGCAGAGCAGGCTCCAGATGTAAGGCACAGTCCTCCCAGACATACCTTTCTGTCCTGGAGCAAGAGGAAAAAGAGCAAGACCCAGGACAGAGCATCAAGTAACCGAATTCATCAGTTCATGTCAGGGCTCCATTTTCCCCTTCACCTCCTGGCTTTCCACCTAGCCTAGTTAAGTCTATTCTGTCTGCCACTTAGAATTGCAGAGCCTTAAATAGTGATTCAGGCACACGGCATTTGTTAAACTTCATCATAAATACCAGTAATTGCAGAGCATGTATTCGGTGGGTGCAATGGCTATAGGTTTGGAGACAGCACTCTGTCCTAACCCGTGACAGTCCATAGTAAAGTTCTCAAAGCAAGGCAGGAATGAAAACAGTGGAGGTCTGTAAATAAGCTCATATGCAATGAGGTGGTCTTCGTTGAACACATAATATCTGAAGTGCCGGTACTGCTTGGAGTCATGGGAAGCATCTCATCTCACAAACTCAGTTAATGGACAGAAACACATTTCCTATCGATTATCCTTAGACCAATGTCTTTGCTTCCCGCTGCCTTTACTCACCCCTCTCCCATCTCATATCTGTGTGACTTGTTCTTTAGATTCCTTTTATAGAGCCTACCTAGAGCAAAACCCACAGAGGACAGCA